ATATGGCGTTGATACGTGGAAATTGACCGTAGGTCGTAAGTCCGTAAGTTCAAAGTCGCTTAGCGTGCCATGGAACGGTGTATGCTCGGAGTTTCTTTGATGGATCGAGTCAAAAACATGAAAATCCGTCGAAGAACCAAAGTAACCGATATAGCCCTCAAGATTAGCAAGCTGAAGTGGTATTGGGCCGGACATACCTACGTGTTGCAGAACCGATGGCCGATGGAGAAGAGGTGTTCTGGACTGGAGACCACGTACCGGTAAGCGCAGTATTGAGCGTCCCCCTGTCCAGTGGACCGATGACTTGCAGCGATGCTTGAGGAGTTTGGATGCAGAAGGCGGGGATCGGTCATTGTGGCGGACTATGGGAGAGGCCTACGTCCAGCAGTCCGCCAGCTAGATCAATCTTCGGCAGTGTGGCTAATCTTGGTGGCATTGGCCCGGACATGTTCGGTCTAACACATAGGACTCTGACCTTCGGATTTCTTTCTACATAATTATCAACTTGCTTTCTGGTAACGCGTTCGAAAAATTCAAGAATCTTCCGAGTCTGGCGGCAACGCTATTAATTTTACCTTCCAAATCTGAATTAATGAACGTTGAACGAATGAAGGACCATTGTTAGGTTTAATATTAGGAGTCCGACATAACTCCGTTACCCCCTTCGACCGGGTATCCGTAAATGGATCCAAAGGTTTAATATTGGAAGTTTAGAACGCCCTCAAACTGTACACACAGCATACGATACAGCCTAAAGTTAAGCACCAACCAAATATGAATGTTTATTCTTGTTTTCCCCTGGTCGCAGTTCATTTTGAACTTTAAACGTATATAACTAAAGAGTACTATTTTACAAATAAAACTTTATGTATCTACACTGACATTTCTTTTCAGACATAATCTCAAAACCATTTCAGGACTACAATTTTTTTTTTTTAAAGTATTTTTTTAAACGATTGGCATACAAAACTGTTTACAGTTCTATATCTACATATTCGTTGATCATACGGTTAAATATAGCATACATTAGGGAATGATCTATATTACTTATTGAGCGGATCGAGATAGCAACGATAAAATTCTCAAAATATTGTGGAAATGTTATTAATTCCACAAGTTTCTCCTTAATATTAAGAAAATACAACGTAGTCAAATCTTGAAAAGGCAAAAAAAAAAACATTAGGACATTCCTAGAAACGCCATAAAAGTTAATTAAACTACATGTGAAAAATTACTCGCACCAATCACAAAGATATTGAATGTGCGATTTAAATTGAAACAATATGTCGTCGACCTTGATATCAATTTATTAACAACCAGCAGAGGCTCGAAGTTACGTCAAACAAACGAAAAAAAAGAAGCTAAATGAACCAGAGCGAGCTCGCCTAAATATGATTGTATCTGAACTAAGACAGTCTCATTTTTTTTTAAATATTAATTGTAAACGTGCTAATTTCATATATTATTATGATATTTAGTAAATTATATTTCGAGGAATATGATATTTAGTAAATTATATTTCGAAGATTTATTGCTTTAGTGTACGTTGAATATTTTCTTATTGCAAAAGATTAAAAGACGGGTAAATATCCAGCATTTTGCTGACTGTTTGTGGTGGTTACTTACTTATCTGTGAGTCGGAAACCTACCGGGCGCGGAATGCTGCCGCGTTTTAACGTCTGTGACATCTAGACTTAACTAACAGACTGTCCATCGCACATTCGTTACTTTGTGCCTTCAACGAGCCTGTTAGTCATTACGGATACTCCCGATCCATTAACAGTCCTTTTAGGTAGATCAAGCACCGGTCACCGTCCTCGCCGAATCCGCCGCTTGGGACGAAGGGCTCGACGAGTAAATTAACCCATAGATACAGCCCACTGAGTTTCTTGCCGGATCTTCTCAGTGGGTCGCGTTTCCGATCCGGTAGTTATGCGAAGCACTGCTCTATGCTCTAGCTAGGGCCAGTGTTAGCAACACTCCGGTTTAAGCCCCGTGAGCTCACCCACACGTCAAGGAGAAGCTGAAATAGCATCTCAAGGATATCAGCATAGGTAGAGAATAAAAAAAGAGCCTATTATCGAATTTCTTATTTCGCACTTATTTCTGTTAAAACAGGAAAAAAAATCACCGACCTTGACTTGACAATCGTCTATATTATAGAATGTTGTCATCGTGTCAGGTTTCGTATAGTTAAACGGGGCATAGCTGTAATAAGTAGGTATTATGACGAATAAGACCAGTGATTCAGTGCTGTTTGTCGAAGCACAATACATTACATTAGCGGAAATCCAAACTCATGTTTTTTCTCGGTCGTAACTCGTTAATTTTTGACAGCGTTTTAATCTAAACTCTAAAAGCACTTCATCGGGACTTCAGTCCACGAAAACTGGACATCGATTCGAAATAAAAAAAAAACGAACAAAAACCCGCGCGTCTATATCTATACTTCTATAATGTATAATTCTATAATAATATTATAAAGAGGAAAGATTTGTTTGTTTGTATTGAATAGGCTCCGAAACTACTGAACCGATTTGAAAAATTCACTGTTTGGATGCTACAGTATTTCCGAGTGACATAGGCTATAACCTTTTTTGAAAAAAATTAGGGATCCTTACTGAAACTCCAATAATATAACCCAAGGTGTAAAAAAATACCTAAAATATTCTTTACATCGCGTTCTCGGCGAAAACTATTGATGATAGAATAAAATAATGTAGTACGACTTTGTAGAACACATTATTATTTACAAAAAGTGTCACGACAACATATGTCTAACTATTATAGTTATGCCGCAATAAGTGTTCTTTTAGTTAAAAAAATAAAACAACGTCAAATATCGTTGAAATTTTTGTTAAAGACCCGAGCGGAGCCGGAGCGGGCCGCTAGTTATACCATAAAGACGTTTTAGTAACCTCATAATCTCCTTTAAATCATGAGAAACTAAGCCCGTATTCAAATTTAAGCTTATACTAAAATATAATAGTCGCATCTAGAGTCCGACTGCTTGAATGAGAATTAAGCTTGATGACTAATAGCTAAGCCCTAGCAACACAAACAGTAGCGTAGCTGACCGACAACGCCTTTGCCGGGGTTATTAAATTTCGAAAAATAATATTTGTTGGGAGTAGGGGAGAAGTGTATTGCACTTTAGTGGGAATTTTTGAAACCCTTTCCCTAAAAGGTCTCAGTATCGTTCCTAAAGATATCATTAGGTTTGTGTAGAAAAACATGAATGTACATAAGGTAAAATTAAAAGTTAAAATTAAAATAAAATTAAATTTAAAGTTAAAATCACTTATTTGGAAAAAATAATCTTTTGCAAATTTTGTAGATGATTAATTCTTGAAAAAGGATAATCATCTAGCAATGTTAGAATCAAATTCAATTTAAATTATTATATTGGAAATTTAAGACATTATTCAGGTACATACAACAACACAATTAATACAATGTCATTTGGTAAATATAACATTACAAAAAAAATTACATGAGTTTCAAATTATCTACATCACATTAATGTTGTTTCAAGAAGAAACTGACATATGGATGAGAATAGTGGGCGATGGAGCATTATGACATAAAAAAAGGGAAGAGCTACACCCAACAGTGGTATCAGAGAGTTGAAGATATTATTATGTATTCAAGAAGAAATATAAGTATATCATGGTACTTTTAAACATATATACATAATGGTATGGTATATTAAATATAAATACATAATTTTGCCATCAAAGTTAACTTTATGTTTGTACTTTAAATGATTTTAAGGTGCAATGTATCATGATAAGATGTATACAACATCATAACACTCCTATGGCCGTGGCCCAATTTGATTTCACACAAACTGAATTGTAGGCACCTTAAAAATACACTAGCAACATCTAATCACAAAGCAAATACTGTAGGACTTTACTTGATAAGATTAAAGAAAATAAACATTTTGTAATTTAGGCTAACGGTTTGTTATAGTTTCAATAAATCACAAACAGTCCTTGAGTTGGGGCTCATGTCTCTTATGTTGACAATGATGTTGTGTTTCAATTTTAATTTTAGTAAAAAAAAAAACTCAACACAGTCAACAATTAGCATCTGGTATTTAATGACACCAAGCAATCAGGGGTAAGGTTGGAAATAATTAAAGTTAATAATTAAAGCCATTATTCTGCTGCACTAATAGTAATGTCTATAAGTTGTAATATCCACTTATACTTAGGTGGATAATGAGTCACAGCCTCTCTATAGTATCATCACTTAAATATTGAACTTTGAAAATGTTTGGTACATTTTTTTAAATGATTTTCAAGTGAACTGATCTCCTTCCATTTTTATATTTATTTCTATTCAATAAAATTGGTTTGCTTAATTTAATATGGTTATTTTCTCTCTGATCGCACAAAGTTAAAACCATTACTTAAATATCTTTTGATAGGAGGTAAAATATTAATAGCAATGCTCAACTAATATCCTTACTTATTCGTATTTATGACATTTTTAACTGAATATAATCATTTGGCATTCTCATTCTATCAACTCTTAAGTACGAATTAGAGATGAAATTATTATTTTCAATCACATCTCAAAATAGAAATTAATTATTGGTTTGGTTTACTTATAAAGGCAATTTACTATTTCAAAATTTATTTCTATTAAGTTTTTCAAGGTGTAATAGCCACTTGAGGAAGATTTTAATATGTGACTAATTGTATATGATATAAATGTCACATCATTGCAGTATTGAAAATATTTCTAAGTTATTTTTCATTAACTTAGTCAGTCATTATGATAAGTGTAAGGTTTTATTGGTGTTACATATAAACTTTGATTTCTATATATGTGTTGACCACATTAATATATTAAAAAACATGTTCTAGGATTTTTTTTACTTCATTATCATATAATTCTTGTCTATTATGTTATTGGTGGTCAGCTTTATTCAGTCCAGTTAAACTTTTCAAGTAGCGATAGGGCCTTTTTGTTTGGTTAATTGGACTTACCTTTCGGAATGCAAATAGTTCATTCTGCAACTTCTGCCTCTCAGCAGAGGGCTGCTGGCCCTTGCCGCGTATAAACTTCAACATTCTGCCTGCCTGCAACAGAAGTTACACTTAACCACGGCACACGTAGTAACAACAAATTTTTTGAAGAAACCCCCACCATTATCAGTTATTGCATTCTCCGACTGGTAAACACTGGCACCCACACCGGCATCTAAAAGCCGACTGGCAAATGACAATTGCTTTTATGTTTCAAAACAGCGATGCGATTACGGTATCCCGCACCCAGATAATAACATGAGACATCAAATCGCTTGATAAATCGTCAGATAAGGAAAACGATAAACGAACTGCTCTGAAAACAAGTAATTTCTGCGTTTTCGACCAAAATCCAGAGCGGCCACTTGAAAACATGACAAGACAACGCCTGTCTGTTGCTGCATTTTCGCTGGGATGCAACGTTTAATAACTTACGTTAGTACTGTTAGTAGTGACTTGTTACCGAAATTGTATATTACGTACCCAGAGACGACAGTTTGAGAAGTTTTAGTTATAAAATCCAAATTTAGATAGATGACAGACAACTCACAAACGGCGTCAGAATTACACACAAACACGAAAAGTCACTTTTTCAAATCAAATCACAAATTCATGGACGCGCGCACACGAAACGCACCCACACTAATGTTCGAATGACGTGAGGCTCAGAGTTACCATTTTAAAATGTTTAATTCCACGGCTTTTTTTAAATTGACAGTAAAAAATATTTAAAATTAGAAACTTTAAAGAACTTGATAATTTTATACTCTTATCTGTTTTACTTGAGTTATAAAAATAGTAACTAAATAAATATGCCTAACTGCCTTTCACTAAGCATTGGTCATCACCTTAAAGCCTCTACAGGCTCTGTTATTTGTTTTATTTTAGACACACCACAAGTTATCCACGAATATTCGTTTGAATTTCGCATAGTTTAATTTTAGAGGGATCTGATATGTTTTTACTGGTTTATTACACTATTTTCTTGAATTATTGAAACATCACATTCTTTTGACAATTTGAAAAATGTTGTTCCAATTTTTCTAATGGATCCAACTTGACGTCTTTTCAAAACATTACCAAAAAGTACAGTATTTTTTATTTTGCTGGCAATACTATTATTTCGTTTAAAAACGGCATTCCTGTTTGTCAATCCACAAATAATCCGTTTAGAAACAGACGACTCTTATTTGTAAATCAATGTACAAAATTTAAGAATTTAAAATGATTTGTAAAATAATAAAAAAATCCAAATATTATTCTTTTTTGAATCAATATTGCGATCCACATTTTTTGATACATGCGAATATTTAAAAAGTGCCTCTAAAATCTAGTCATTGTCATTCAACTACATTTTTTTAAAATATTATTATGTTCAAAATTCGAATCATAGATAATACACTCAATAATTCGAATGGTGCCAATACGTATGTACATAATTTTCTAAAGAAAATTTATTTAATAAACACGTGCCGAATAACAAAATTAAGCATTTTGATTTAGTTGACTGGTTGGAAGATCTTTTTAGAATGTTTTTAGTTAGAATGCTTGTAAATACTTTTTATTGCACTCTGAAAATATCAGTAGATTAAATTAGAATGGAAAGATAAAGATATTACTGAGGAATATATAACTAGGGAGATGCAGTCTTAACTAGAGCAGACCAAAGTTACCTACTTCTGTTTCTTCTGAATAATCATTGGTGTAATGATTATTCAGACGACTGGAATAATCATCGACAGTTCGTTTTTTTTTTCTACCTATTCCAGTAACCTCGAGGGGTTATACTACGTTCTCCAAGCGAGTAGGTGAACTCTCGGGGCTCTATCTATCCTGGTGGCATTGCTTACACAAGCCCTAGCAAGAGCAGTGCCTCGCAAAATCTACCACCGCGTCGGAAACGCGACCCACTGAGAAGATCCGGCGAGAAACCCACTGTATCTGTGGATTTATTTACTCGCCGAACCCTTTGTCACGAACGACGGGTTCGAGGAGAACGGTAACCGGTGCTTGAGGTACCTAAAAGCACCGTTAGTGGATCGTCAGGATCCGATGTGACGCGCTTAGGGCTACGTCGACTGTTTACCATTCGGTCCGCAGGATCGGCAATGTAGTTACCTGCGGCCATGATAAGAGTTTCCGTATCGTGCCGCTTTCTCGAAATAGCGGACTAATGCCGACTGAAGATACTTACTGATGGTGTTAAGCTCCATGTCGTTATGGAGGTCACGTTTCTCTCAAACCACGGTGCTCCGACGGTTATCCGGCAAAAACGGGATTGAATGATTTGGTTAGTCTTTGCGATAACATCGCTTCATAGAAACGGAATTAATTCATGTTTACGTCGCTAATACGCCATAATAATTAGCACTCAGAATTTATCAAGCGTCGTTTGAATCCATGGCGACACGTCTTCACGACACGACAAGTCTAAGGCCACACGTCAATCAATAGCGGATACGACGGGGGATGTTTTTTGCTTTTAATTTCCTCAATTTCCTCAAGTCCACACTTGAAGAGGGTTCGTCGTCCCGTATTATATTACCTACGTAATTTTTCTAAATTAATTTACTAGTATTTTGTCGTTGTACAAATGGCTTTATACGGTGCGGTCTAATATGATAATGATATGAATATGATAATGATTGAACGAGCCATCGGTCCATCTGATATTAAGTGATTACCGAAGTCACATACATCACAACGTGAATGCCGCTACCCACCTTGAGACCTAAGGTCTAAATAACAGCTGTACCCAGTCCTACCACATGCCCAGCCATCGGTAATTACTTAAGCATGTGGTTTTTTTCATTGCTTAAGTGGGTGGACGAGCTCACGGCCCACCTGATCTTAAGTGTTTACATTTACATTACATATTTACATTTATTTCATGCGAGTTTCTATAGTAAGACACTTTTATTAGCTTGGTATGTTTGTACCTTGGATGTACCTATATGTGTGTGGTTTCTTTGTATGTAATTGAATCTTTGAGCATCATTTTCACTAACTTGAAGACGTCCGATTGAATTGAAAATTAGCAGACGCGTTAAGGACTAAAGGCAATATTTAAAGGCACACAAATATCTAAAGGCAAATTTTATAATATCGCTCTAATATCCTGACAGGCGTGGACAGGATAAAAAGTATCAATTATTAGTTCGGTCTGTGCGTGTTTAATTCAGTTTTAAATAATATTACAGTTTAAACACATTGTTACAAAAATTTTTTTAATTGAGGAGAAAGTCCAACGCTACCACTCAGGCACACTTATAGAGCTTTTGAGTGACCAATTAACTGAGAAAATAATTGGCTTGAGGAATTTATATTCACAAAACTCCACGATTCGTATCGTTGGCTCAAGTATTTGAGATTTTGTTCTTTTGATTTCGATAGCGGTTTGAATGCTTTCTTCAAATGATTGTCTTTATTTTGTAAAATGTGCTTTAACAAAAACTTTGTATTATAAACCAGAATTCTCTCGTATTCCACGTGTTTCGGAAATATATTAGACTAGCGGCTCGCTCTGGCTCTGCTCGGGTCTTTAACAAAAACTTTTTATTTTATTTTTTTATTGCCCTTGTAGGCAGACGAGCATACGGCCCACCTGATGGTGAGTGGTTACCGTCGCCCATGGACTTCAGCAATGCCAGGGGCAGAGCCAAGCCGCTGCCTACCGCTAAAACGAACGAACGAACGATATTTGACGTAATTTAATTTTTTAAAATAAAAGAACACTTATTGCGGCATAACTATAATATAATAGTTAGACATACGCTGTCGCGACACTTTATGTAAATAGTAATGTGTTCTACAAGGTCATAGTACATTATTTTATTCTATCATCAATAGTTTTCGCAGGGCACACGACATAATGAATATTTTAGGTATTTTTTTACATCTTGAGTTACATTATTGGAGTTTTAGTAAGGATCCCTAATTTTTTTCAAAAAAGATTATAGCATATGTCATTCGGGAATAGTGTAGCTTCCAAACAGTGAAAAAATTTTTCAAATCGGTTCAGTAGTTTCGGAGCCTATTCAATACAAACAATTTCCGATAGAGGCACCCGTCACGTGCGGACGTGCTCATCGTCCACTCGATCGCCCGGTCTTTGTTCGCCCGGCTTTTGTTAGCCCGGCCATTGTTCGCGCGGCCTGTGTTCGTGATACATCTGCCGACCAAGTGTGTTTCCTGGAGCTTTTATTTGTTTTGTTTTAGTTATTTTTGTGTTCGTGGAACATTTGCCGACAAAGTGTTTTCCTGCAAGTATTTATTTGTTTTGTTTCTTTTTGTAATTTCTGTTTTGTTGTGCTTTTTCTTTGTCCTGTAGTAATCGCGCCGCATTGCCACCTGTGTTCAATAGAACCGCTCAGGTCCGAGAAGTTGGGGCCTCGCCGCAAGGCGAGTGTTTTCAAGACCCGGGGCCGCCCCACCTGGGTACTCAGCGATCATGGACGCTGTATTCGCGGAATTCCTCCGACTTCGCCACCCACAGCTCGCCTCGGAGTTTTTGGCCTTCAAGGCCAATCACACTGCGAGCCCTCTCGAGGACTCCGCCGCGCTCGCTGCTCCTGCGTCGCCTGTACCTGCGTGCAGAGCTTCTGCATTGAGCACCGCAGCCTCTGTCGTGCCTGCCGCTCCCGTGTCGCCTATACTGGCGAGAAAAGCTGCTGCGTCGTCCGCCGTGACCATCGTTTCAGCTGAGCGATCATCCGCGGCCTCCGTCGCGCCCTCTAAAACACCTACACTTGCTCGTAGGTCGCCTGCACCC